ATTGGCTCACAGCATACAAACATTAAAATCATCAGAAATAAATATTTCTAACCCAATAAAATGGTAATACAATCAAAGTAAAATTATTATCACAAGATGGGGAAAGAGGAGCCAAATGCATGGGGGTGGGGGTGGGATTAGCTCTTAATCAACCACCTCCAATGTGATACTCCCATATTGGGGCCCCAAGCCATCTGGCAGAGCCAGATCTTGAGGCTCTTGCAGAAGGTCAGACGGGAGCTGATCTCACCACAGGGGGCAAGATATTCCTAAGGACAGAGAATATTCTTCTCCTGGACCCCGCCAGCCTAAATTTAGTGACTGACAGGTTCCACAGTATGCCCCCTCTGCCAGCATGGGTGGGGCAAGCCAATCACATTGCGATGAGACAGTTCCTCAAGTAACCTGGATCCATCCCATGCAGGGCTTTAAAGGTGATAACCAATGTCTTGAATTGCACCTGGAAGCAAACAGACAATGAGTGCAGCATGTGTAGCAGTGGTGTAACATGGGTCACTATAGGAGTCCTAAGAACTGACCACGCTGCTGCACTCTACATCAGCTGTAGCTTCCGAATGCTCTTCAAGCCCCATGTAGAGCTCATTGCAGTAGTCCAAATGTGAGATGGCTAGGGCTTGAGTGATTGGGTGCTGGGACTCCTGATCCAGGAACTGGTGTACAAAAGAAGTTGTGCAAAGGCTGCAATCGCCACCTGCTGTTATAGCAATGATGCAATAAGTACACCATTGGAAAATCTGAAAGATTAGAAATAGGTGTCATGAATAAAATCTATGTGAGTGCTCTGAATAAAAACAACAATTTGGTGGCACATAATCTAACTATTCTCTCAGTTTTGGAGGTATATGGTTTGCTCTTTTAATTAGACTATTGTTTTCTGCCTGCTGGTATGTCTGATACTGATCCCTGTTTATCTGAGTGTTGGCTACTGAAGAGAATGTTCTAGTCTCTTTTTTTCCTCTTAAGTTTTTTTCTTGCCTTTTCTTACCCAGAGGAAAGGATGAGCAATAGTCTAGCATTCTAATATATTTCTGTCAAGTCCGATATTCCCTTCTTGAAGCTCTTTTTTGAATAAAAATGGATGACAATGCTTAGTTTAGCAAAGTGTGAATAAGAATTGCAATGGAAAATGAACCAGAGCACTTACGTTCACCTCTTCTATCTCAGAGTAACAGTAAAATTATCGGGCAGGTTTAGCAGTTTACAGTAACAGCTTCTTTTCTTGCTGCTTTAAAGGGGATAGAGTACTTATCTCCTTATCAAGTCCAATATTGTTTTTTAAAAACATTGTTTATAATATAAAATCAATAATTTCCCACTCTAAATTGTTTTTTAGTATTTTCAAACTTTGCAGACTAGTCTTACCCACACAAAACCAATATCTACTCAATTAGTACTAAGTTTACTTCCTATAGTAAATATGCATGGGACACAATCTGAAAAATCTAAGTACCTCAGTTTTGTGTGAGTACATTAACGATTATAAGGTACAGAACTGTAAAGGGATAAAATTAGAAGGGACATTTGGGATACTGAATTTGCTTGCCCACCTGGTACAGTAATTCAGTTAACACATCACTGACCAGCACTTTCATGATGTTAAGAAAGAGAAATAAAGATTTGCAAAACTATGCAATCTACACATTCAATATTAGATCCATCCTTGGACTTAGAAGATAACAGGTTATGAACAAAAAATACAAAGCTCCTGTTCTTAATTACAATTGGTTTGTTGCTTCTTCTGGTGATCTTGATTAGGTTTTGTTTATTATTGTCTTTAAAGTCAAATACACACTGGGCACCATATATTCATTCTATTCATGTATTAATTTTAAATAAATGAATGGGAAATGAGGAATGGAGAGGGAGAAGTATTTAGGAAGTCGGTAATTCAAGGAAAAATGAGTCTGGGGCAGGTGTTTAGTGACAGAGGAGGAAATAAAAATATTTGGGAAATTTACTGAGAGAGATAGAGATTTTACTCTCTGACATTCATGTCTCTCTAGAGAAGCAGAACATGCTCGAAAATAGTAGCCTCACATTTTATTGCTCAGACCTCTCTTTTGGATTTGCTTGAGTTCTTCAACAAACTACTTCTCTTCCATTTTTATTTCTGTGTAATAAATGTCTTGTGGTTAACCATCCAAAGCACATTACTTACAGATTTCTTTGGCATTTTCATATTTGAACTCTGGTAGCACAGTGAACATTTATTCTCATTCTAAAATATATAGTCCAAATGATGATCTACCAAACACATGTTTTAAGTTATGCATTTATTTATAAACCAGATTTAGTGCATGTAGTCTCCAATCTAGCCATGAAACTCTGGGTGGAGAACATAAGAAAATACAGTACATCATCAAACCAACACCAAGAAAAACTTAAGTTTCTCTCCCTTGAGAATTTTTTAAATTTTTTGAAGAATGTTGTTCTGCCTGTTTCAAAAAGTACCATTTTGACATGTGTGAGCAATTCCTAGTATAACATTTGCTTTAGTATAAATTTCTTATGCAAGTGAACATGCTAATTTCAGGAAGTAGGGAATAAAACAAGAGTTCCTGTTACCTTTCTCCTATAAGTAGTAATTCATTAACAAGGTCATTAGTAAGAGTACAAGTAACTAGTCTCAGAAATGTTGAGTTTTGTGTTTAAAACTCTTACTGAAGGTGGGGGAGGAGAGGATTTCCTAAGGTTTATGGAGAACAATCATAACTTTAAAAGAAGTTTAGGCTTTAAAAGTTCCCCTCACATTCCAAGGAGATTTAAGAGGAACTTGTAACATGAATATACACTCCAAATGGTCTGTAGTTTGTTGGTCTATAATTATAGCTGAAACTGGAGTGCAAGAAGTACAGATTAGACCACATGCAGTCTACTAGTATTTCTTTTGGGATTCCTAGAGAAGCCACAGTATGCAAAAAGGTAAATTACAGCACTTTGAAATTAACAGATGGTTTCATTGTCTGAAATGCCTTTCTGGGTCCTTCCATATTTTAGCTATTCTGCTGCTTTGGATTGGAACCATAGTTCTGTCAGTTCTCTGGGGGATTAGTTCCTTCAGATAATGAAAATATTTGCTATCTATCATATGTCCTGCCCTCTTAGCTGTACATATGGTAGTACTTTACTTTTTCATCTAGTACTTCAGTTTTATTTCTCAGACAAGAGGCACAGGCCAAATGGACACCTGACTCTTGAATCTACATCTAATTATATTCTTAGAGTTGTAACTTTTATTGCTATTACCTTAATGCTTATCTCAGTAAACAAGGAACAGAGTAGTTAAATGGATTCTTCTTGGGTTTTCTTCTGCTTTTAATACCACCATAAGGTATTTATAGAAGGGAATTTTATTTATTGCTATATGAATATGGGTATTTATGAATGTATGTTCTAATTTAGAGATTCACAATGTTTATGAATCAGAGATACAACTTGATATGAGCTCTGGACCCAAAGAATATCATGTCCTCTTACACAAATGTTTTAAGAAAAAGGCACTCAGTATGAAGTGGGCCCATCCAAAAATTTTATTCTTATCTGTATGATTGATTGGCAATATGTTTTGCAAACCTTTCCTGACCTGGGTTCTATCATTATAGCTAACTATCAAATATTCTTAGCATTTATCCCATCATTTTCATAAATGTAGCTATAGTAAATAATAATTTCTATACTGTCTCTATATTTTATCTTTGAAGGGTCAAGAGAAGTACTCAGTTCTATAGTTGACTCTGCTTATGATCACTATTTGATTCTTCCCACAGTTGGATAATGGCTGTGCACCACATACTGATTGCTAGAATGTGGTATTTAATGGTGTTTCACCATTTATTTTCTCATTACTGAATAATTTTAATATATGCTGGTGTGAACTCTGTAAATATGTATGTGTTGTGAACACCTGAACATGTGATAGTCCATGCTTTGTATTTATTCAACTATTTCTGAATCTAATAATAGTTCTAGTGACATTTTTAGCTGCACAGTATCATGCCACTTTGATTAGCCGAGAACTGGGCCTCTTAGTTATTGGGGATGAAATTGAACATAACAAAATGAGGAACTCACTTCCTGTACTCTTCCCATAAAACTAGATACTCAGATGGCAGCAAGCAACATAAAGCAAATAAAGAGGAGTACACAATAACATGTCAGGAAATGCAATGATCTGGGGCAGAAGTGGTTAATGTGTGGTATTCCATATGTTGCTGAACTATACTTGCAGGCCTTGGCTTATCTAGCCACATCCCATAACAAGTGTTTTTGCTTACTAGTAATAAAATATTGATTTCAGTAATGCATTATTACTTGAGCTTGACTGACTATTAATTTTTTGATTTTTTTTAATTCTGTGGCCTGTGGAGGTGTTTGACAATATATAAATGGTTTTTGTTTAAAGAAAACCAAATAACTAATTTTTAAAAAATATTTGACATTAAAATAATGAATTCTATTTTAGTTGCATCAGGTGTCTGTATATGTATTCAGTAGAAAGAATAGGCTTAATGTATTGATTTAAAATAATCATGTATTGCTTTGACATTATCAATTAGATATTTGGTCATGGGCTGCAAATATTTTTGGACTAATGCATAAAACTTCCATATCTGATTTATTTTATAATGTGTATCCACAAGTACATTAAACATATGCAAGAGAAGTGGCATTTATTATGTAAGATTGTTCTATAACATTCATTTAGGTATTTATTAGTTTTATTTTATGTTTGGAATGACCCTGGTGTTTTCTCTTTTCTTCCCTTCCTCCCTCCTCACTGACTTCCTTTTCCTAAGCATATATTATGTTCATAATTTGGTCAAAAATGTTTCTAATACATACGAATCCTAAAGTTAACTTTCATGTAATGTCCTCTAAGATTTATATGATAAAGCATATTACTTTACTGTCAATCCCAAAATAAATTAGTTTTGCCAGTTTAGGTCTAATGTATTTTCTTTATTAATGCTTTTCTCCAGGTCATTTTGCTAATCTAACTTGTCGAGCATTCTTTGGATACAGTGGAGAAGTCAGTCCTTTAATGTATTGGATGAAAGGCGAAAAGTTTATTGAGGATTTGGATGAAAGTCGGGTTTGGGAGAGTGACATTAGGTAAAAAAAATATACATATATTTTGTCAGAACTAATATCTAGTTTTTTGAAATGAATAAAATACTATTTAAAAGAGAAATCAACATTATTAAAGTACACAAAATCATCTGAGCCTTGTTCTTTTGCAGAACAAGTATTGAGAATGGCATAGAAAATGGATGTTTCATGTATATGCAATTATTCTAAAACTGCTAGTTTTAGAGTCTCCTATTAAAGCAAGAATGATGATTCTGCAACTGTAAAAATGTCTAGAAATTAACATGATAAAATGCTAACCAAAAATTCTGTGATACATAGTCACTTCTGTTAGTATACTCAGAAACATATGAGTCTCGTGTCATAGGGAGAAATAAAAAATGAGAGTGGAAAAGAAGTGTACAGATAAGATAGCTTATATTCATACTGTATATTGATTCACAGTTGTCCATTAGATATATGAACACAGCTTGCCACTATGTACATAATGGCTTTCCTGTCTTATGAAAGTTATCATACAAAGACAGATCCCAAAGTATATTATGTGTGTGTGTGTGTGTGTGTGTGTATACCTATGCCTACACCTATACCTACACCTATACCTATACATATACATATACATATACAAGAAATACTGAAACTGTGTATATTAGAAATTATACATATACAAAGTCCTTCTGTGATATTCATATTTGATATTTATATTTGAGTATATATGCTGTTTTCAAACAAACAAGTATTATGAGCATAAAGAATTATATACAATGCTTGAAATTCCAAAGAAAAGAGATTACTCCTAAAATTACTCAAAGAACTGCATACATCTTTTGTGGATATTAATATCTGTTAATTAAATTTTTAAAAATCAAATAATCTAGAAATACATTTTATTTTTTTTAAAAAAACATTTCACCTTAATTGCAAAAAATATAGTAAAGTTATTTGGTATTTAAATAATCATTTTTACAGACACTGTTCTATTTGGTTCTATTTTTTTTAATCTTAAAAAGGGTTTTCAAAGATGATCATGAAAAAGAATAAGTGCTGGTTTTTAGCAAAAACAATGTTTATAAACATCAATTTAATTCCATATCTCACTAGCATCTACAAACATGTATAAATAAATATTGATAGTAAAATAAACTAGTGGTTTAATTACATCAACCCTACTACTTTTTTTTTTTTATAAAGATCATATTAAGATTCCTTCCATGCATTATTATTTTCCAACAATTTTTCACTAATCAAAAATATTTCAACAAAATATTTTTCTTTTTATTAGGGTCCTTAAAGAACATCTTGGAGAACAAGAAGTTTCCATCTCATTAATTCTTGATTCAGTGGAAGAAGGGGATCTTGGAAATTATTCCTGCTATGTTGAAAATGGATATGGCCGCAGACATGCTACAGTTATTCTACTTAAGAGAGGTGAATATATGCATACAATACATACATACAAATATATATACATGAATATATATATTAACTATTGTTTATATTCTATGTTGTATAAAGTTGTGTTCCTGAAAGTATAAATTAATTTTCACTTTCTTTAGGGTGGCATTTTAAATAAATAATAAAGACACCTATCATTAAATATGGCTGCCTGTTGAAGAAATAAAGTTCAATAACTTTTTAATAATGTTTATACAGGAAATGTATGTCACAAGTAGAAAATGAACTAATAAGTATTTTCTAGTAGGAAATTATTGCTATTAGAATTTTGATGTCTATAACAATGCAAAAAAAGTAAAAATTAAATAAATCTAGTAGTGTTAAATGTATTTTGCAAGTGGCACAAACAACCATTTGTGCTTATAGATTATAACTTGACAAATATCTATGGAGATTTTTAGTCATCCAGATCATGGCTGTCCCAAAGGTGCTTTTTCAGGAGGCAACTGGACTTTCTTGTTTTTCTTTGAAGACATTTTGCTTCTCATCCAAGAAGCTTCTTCAGCTCTGACTGGATGGTGGGGAATGGCAGCATTTATACTCCTTGCAGACAGCTGGTCATTTGCATTCTTTTAGAGAGTCGTTGAGGCCATTTGGAAGTTTACCTGTGTCCTCAGGGTCAGCTGAGTAGTGCAAATGTGTGTGGAGCCTTCTTGGCTGCAGAATGTTTTCTGCCATGTGTCCCTTCACTGTTGAAGACAGGCGCAGGCTATTGGGGATGAGTCTGTGTTGTCTGCATGTCAAACTGAAGCATAAATGGTTCCTGTAGTCTGCAATGTTTTCTGGAAATCCATTCATATTCCCGCACCATTAGAAGGGTGTTCATTCCTAAGTGCATAGCTAAATGTCTATGGAGATTCTCAGTCATTCAGGTCATGGTTGTCCCAAAAGTGCATTTAGCTATGCACTTTAGGATGAACACCCTTCAAATGGTGCAGAAGTTTGAACAGTCTGCGCCTATCTTCAACTGTGAAGGACACAGGGCAGAAAATATCTTGCAGCCAAGAAGGCTCCACAGATATTTGCACTACTCAGGTGATCCTGAGGACACAGATAAACCTCCAAATGGCCTCAACACCTATAAGAATGCAAATGACCAGCTGCCTGAAAGGAATATAAATCCTTCAATTCCCCACCATCCATTCAGAGCTGAAGAAGCTTCTTGACTGAGAAGTGAAACGTCTTCAAAGAGAAAACAAGAAAGTCCAGTTACCCCCTGAAAAAGCATCATTAGGACAACTTGACAAATATTTTGTTCTTAACTCTGTTCTAATTATTATGATTAAAACTTGTTAAATGTTAGTTACTGTAGAACTTTCAAACTATTTAATTTAGCAGATCATCATTTTGACCAATTTACTGATTTTATCAAAAATCAAAGTACTTTGCAAAATGCTGTTTCCATTTGAAGAAACTATGTTGATCCTGCTTTTTTTCAGTGAAATTTGTTCTTTTTCACAGTAATAATTTTATCAAGATCAAGCAACTTTTAATGCTTTGCAGACACAGAGATTTTAGACAACTTTTGGAAAAATAAAAAAACCTATTTTATACATTTTATGCATTGTTCAACTAAGTCCTTTTGCCATTTTGTCTGGTAATAAATATACTAGATAATAGACATGGTCATTTTCTGAAACTAGCATTATATGAATACAATACAATCTAATGCAACTTGTCTTCAGTTGTATGAATTACAACTTACATAATTTCTTAGCCATTATGGGAATTATAGAGGTTGCAGTTAAAAACATAACTGAATGGAGACAGTTAAAAATATATGTTATACAGTTTTATAAGAGAGAAAGAAAGAAAGAAAGAAAGAAAGAAAGAAAGAAAGAAAGAAAGAAAGAAAGAAAGAAAGAAAGAAAGAAATAGAAGTAGAGAGAGATGAAAGCTCACAATTTATTAATATAATAGCTCTTAATAATGAAATATAATATAATAAATTAACAGAATATATGCATTTACTGGTAGCACTATAATTTGAGACTTTTTCACAACATGGAACATGTATCCTGTAGTGCTATTTAATTACAAAGCAACTAAAAATTGCAAATATATATATATATAATGTCATGACTTTCTTAGAATTTTCAACTTAAATTTTAAGCTATGTATATTTACCAAAATATATAACCGTATATTTATCATTACTGATTCTTACATACCATGTACAAAATATATTTCTTGCTTATTAGCTACCTCTAATAATGAAAAGAAATAATTTCCAGTTAACTCATAAATAATTTCCTGTCCTTTTACATAGAAAAACAGCAATATGTTTCAATCAGGGCCAGCTTTAGGCTAAAGCCAAGAAGGCACTAGACTATGGCCACAAAGCTTAGGAAGCACCAAATACTGCCGTTCCTTTCAAATCATTCTAAAAATGCTAATCTTCACATCAGTGGGAGATGGGGTACCATCAATTTGGCCCAAGGGTGTCCCTGGCGATTTCAGCATTTATTCTGATGCTTCTCTAGTATATCTGAGTCAGGATTTCATGGTCCCAATTCAATGCAGAGAAAAGGGACACTTAGTCTTGCCTCCAGATATTAGGGGTATTTTCCATGAATAGTAGGAAAGTTAGTGTTTCCAATTGTCATGGTTAAATGAAAATTTTAGTTTCACAACATTATTTGCTGAGTTCAAAAATGAGAGACCCATTAATCCAAAGTGATGAACATTCTTGGAAAACAACAGATCTCTCTCTCTCTCTCTCTCTCTCTCTCTCTCTCTCTCTCTCTCTCTCTCTCTCTCTCTCTCTTGGTGATCTAGCTTGATATTTGAACTAGGGCTATGAAAACCATTCCAAATAATTGGTTCCTAATGTGTAGGAATAAACTTTTGAAATTGGATCTTTTGCAAATTGGATTTTTTCCAGGAACTTCTCACATGCATGCATAGCCTTTTCATTTTGATGTAAAAAATCTATACTGTACATCTTTTTAATTGCTAATATCAAATATTTGAGATACTTGAGATATATATTGATAAAATTGGTTACAAATATTTACCTTTACCTTTACAAAAATGAAGTTATTTTATGAGCTTAAATTGATGATTTCTTGAGTAATTAATTTGTAAGTAATCAATTATTTCTTATATTTCATAAAGTAGTGTCAGGCAAAGAATCTGGGAAAATAAAAAACAGAAATCCTACCCTATCTACGTTCATTACAGGTTGAAACAGTATAACCTACAACTCTTCGTGCTGCTATGTAGTAATATTTTGTAATATTGTTAATTTTCCTTAAGATAACAAGGAGTTAAAGATATCCTCAAGGTATGATCAGAAATGTAAGAAGGTGGCCATAATAGTGCAATTGAAACACAGCCTTTATTTTCAATGTTTATAATCTGGGAACACAAATAAACTGACAGAAATTCAATCACACCATCTGGGCCATCATGTTGACTTTTTTTTACCATAATAGAACAGAATAGAGCTGGAAGGCACCTTGGAGGTCTCCTAGTCCAGCCCCTGCTCAAGCAGGAGAACCTATACCATTTTAGACAAGTGACTGTAATTGTTCTTAATTATATTTTAATTAAAGAAATGTTGTAGATTCTAAATCTAAATTTTATCAAGTTTATTTATGTGTCTCTTGGTACATCTAGTTTTATTTCACTAACTGATTGTACCAATTCACCAGTGTATCTATTTATTAAATTCAATATTGGAATATTTGAGATATCTGTGTGATTCTGATGTTGATGCCTTAAAAGGCCTATTGTAGATTTGGAAAGAATGCTCCCTGTAATACTATTTGGACAATATGGTTAGAAAATCAATTAATCTATACCTAATAATAAAACTATAACTAACCTCTACGTGGAGGGAAGTGTGTAGTGGGGTGCCCCAGGGCTCTGTTCTGGGCCCAGTGCTCTTCAACATCTTCATCAACGATTTTGGATGAGGGGATAGATGGGGAACTCATCAAATTTGCAGACAACACCAAGCTGGTAGGAATATCCAACACTCCAGAAGACAGGCTTAAGATACAGAAGGATCTGGACAGATTTGAACACTGGGCACTATCTAACAAAATGAAATTCAATGGTGAAAAAAGCAAGGTTCTACATTTAGGCAAGAAAAAACAAATGCACAGGTATAGTATAGGGGGTACCTTGCTCAATAGTAGTAACTGTGAGAGGGACCTAGTGGACAATCACCTAAATATGAGCCAGCAGTGTGCTGCAGCTGCCAAAAAGGCCAACACAGTGCTAGGCTGCATTAACAGAGGGATAGAATCAAGATCACGTGAAGTGTTAATACCACTTTACAATGCCTTGGTAAGGCCACACTTGGAATACTGCNGGTGGAAACTAATCAGGGAGAGAAGCAACCTAGAACTAAGGAGAAACTTCCTGACAGTTAGAACAATTAACCAGTGGAACAACCTCCCTCCAGAAGTGGTGAATGCTCCAACACTGGAAGTTTTTAAGAAGAGACTGGACAGCCATTTGTCCGAAATGGTATAGGGTTTCCTGCCTGAGCGGGGGTTGGACTAGATGACCTCCAAGGTCCCTTCCAACTTTACTACTACTATTATTATTATTAACCTTATTTGCTCTTAACCTGAGCCATAAACATAATAAGCTAATGAAGAAATTCACACCAGATGTCATCAAGCTCTTAACCTGAGCCATTATGATTATTAAATTATCATTCCAGTTTCATTTTAAAATCCATTGTTTCCATTTATTTCTTATAAACTATCATTTTTAATCCATATTCAAATCAGTTTTACTCAGTAGAATTTACTCCTCATCAATATTATTTTCCAACTCTGTAATTGCAGATAACTTTATAATTGCATCTTTACCCCAATCATCACAAATTTCCTTTAAAATAGCCATTGTTTATTTTTTTTCTAATGCCCTTTACCATCCAGACTTCAAAGTCATCAGTTTGTTGTGATATCAGTTGTTTAGGAGTAAACAAAGAGATTTACCATGAGAAAGGATTC